AGGTTGAAAAATGAAAACCAAGAAATCATAAAGATATAAATATTAGCTTGAGAAATACATTTACACCACTTAGCCAGCAAAAGCATTACAGATGCAAGAAAAAAATGGACGAGAAAATTTTAAAAAGTGGTCGGGCCACCGGGCGGGGCGAGATAAATTCCACGTGTGGTCGGGCCGAGTTGGGCTTGGTCCGGAAACTTTCATCATCAGACCGGGCCAAAAATTTTCGGCCCGTGCCGATCTCTGGTAGGAATATACGGGTTAAAGAAGAAGTAATTTATCTCTTTTTTTCCTTTCTTAAAGTACTTAGGAACGTCTGGTAAACTCAAAAAGAGATTTGGACGATCGTTAAACATTTTTATATTTGTTTAAAAGTCGAAAAGGTATTACGCTACATCCTATGTCTTTTTTAAAAATCCCGTTTAGGTCTTTCCAAAACGGAAAAAGTTTCTAACTCTTCGTAAACGCTAAAGGGTTTTTGTCGAAATGTCAAACCTCTAGAAAAATATTTGGATTACTAAAAAGGATGGATGATTTCTGAATAGAGAAATCAGTGCAGAACAGCTACTGGTTGGATTATCGTTGTTGATCAGGCCTTATCATTTTTCTTCTACTCTCTTTCTCTATGTGATTTAATAAAATACCTCTTTCAGTTATTTTCAAGGAACAAAAAGGAATCTTTTCCTTTTCGCCATTTTGCTCTTCTACATTTTCCGCTTCGACGTTTTCCTCTTTTTTTATCGATATTTTCCTTTTCGATGTTTTCCACCAACTCCATTAAAATCTTATTAAGTACATTTAAATTAATATTTGGTTTTAAGTTAAACTCACTTAGGAGTGTTTCTAAATATCCAACAGTAGTTGAGTTATTGACAAGTTTTTCTAAAATTTTCCAATCTTTTATTTCTTGTTTTTTCTATTTAGAAAAACGCTTCTCCATCTAACCAAATTTCAATATATTTATTACACCTTTTACTCTGATAACTGTAATCTGATATAGGTTTTAATTCAAAAATTTTCTACTCTATTTTTGCATACACTAAAATACTAATATTATTTTACAAATCGATTTTATAATATTTGCAGTTATAATGTCTTGCTTAGAACACCAATTTAAGTAAGTTATAATTTGATAATATTTTCTTTTTCACTAATAAAATGTTCGAGTTCTGTTTCGCTGTCTTCTAATTCTCTATGCCATTTTGTTCCAAATTTTTAAACTTTATTTTTAATAAATCAGTTTTAAACCCTTCTAATTCAGTTTTTAATGATATTTATATTGAGAGATTGTGTAATAATATTTATCTTAAACGTCGAAAAACCTTTCAGTTTCATAAAAAGTTCAAATGTCTTTTCTTTTCGTTCTTTTAAGTTTTTGAAAGGGTTTTTTTCAGATTCAACATTAAAAATATAGAATCGTTTCATAGAACCACATATTTCAATGGGTGGGAAATGATCAAAAGGTATAAAACGGCAAATAAGTTTTACATTAGAACCATTGCTTGATGAATATAAAGATCATTTTAGAAATTGGTTTATAGACAGTGATAATGATAGTAAAAATGAAGAAGCTTTAAGTAAGCTATTTGATAGATTATTACCAGAATTAAAGAAAGAAATTAAATCTATTTTATCAATTGCTGAAATACCTTATTCTATAGCAGAAACCATTGCCAATCTTATAAACAGCATTGATAATGCTATGAAACGACATGTGTCTAATCATGTCAGGTTAAGATCACTCTTGACGGTTCTCTTAAATATAAACTTTTATTAATGTTTTTGTTAGTTTAACTGTTCTTTCTATCTAGACTTCTCAACTAAACACTTTAATTTCTTCTTCATTCCCTCATTGTTGCCTTTGTTAAAATTCTTTGACCACTTTTTTTTATAGAAAATTTTATTAACATCACGGTTTAGTCTTCGCCTTCAAAATAAACGTTACATTCTCTGACGATAGTACACACACAAAGAATAATTTTCCTCATAAACCACCCGGATTAGACAATATGGAAATTAATTGAAATCATACCACAATACATCAGTATAGAAAATATGACAACAGTGAAAAAATTATTTGTATGTAATTAAATATTCAGCATAAGCTTGTGCATCGTGATAAGTAACAAAAATTTCATTCTTGTTATCAGTTGTTGAATCATGTCCGACTGGTGGTGTTTTCATGCTTGAATTTCCAAGTATTGCTTTCCCTATCAACACCTTGGCAACGAACATACATCGTTCACCCGACAATTTGTTTGGTACAGCATAATTATTACTATATAAAGCATTTGTAGCAAAATAAACACCAACACCGTATACCACTCCTAGAAAATAATAAGCTTAATATTAGCGCACAGCAGACATTTCTGGCTTAAGCAGACGGACATGTAGTTTTTGTGCTCGGAAACAGGTTTCTTTTGCTCAGAACTGATGGTATATCACTTATAAAGTCACCTTCAAGAAAATGAAGCATTTTTTTGAAAAAAATTTTCTACGAAAAACACCTGAGGTGATCCTTGCCCTCATTTTATCGAAAAAATGTTTTTGTCGAAAGTGTTTTGTGCCATACATGATCTGACGCAGTTTCACGCGCTAATTCCGAATATCGCATTATTTCTTGAATAAAAATGTTTTTTGACTGAGAAAAATGTAAAATACCTGGAAAATCATGATCTGGGTCTAGGAGAAAAACTGCTATCACTACAAATTCAGGCTATGTCGATGCACATTCTGTGTAATTTTCAACGAATTTGGCGCGGTATTTTTTCTTCAATATTTGCTGCCCGCAAGTTGCTCGTTCGAAACAAAACTTTTTACGCCATTATATAGCCCATCTATCAAAGTATATTTGCCACTATTTTTATTTTAAAAAACCGCACTTTCGATTTTTCGCTAAATGTCCGCCTAGATGCCCAGTATGTAGCGGTAATTTTAAGTTAACTGATGAAAAAAAGCTTTTGAAAACCATACATTTTTCTAACGTCTCCGTCCCATATTTCATGTAAAACATTTCTTTTGGAACAATTATTATTTACACACTTTGATTAGCCTATTTTCAGTGAAAATAGTTAAAGGAAGAAACGAGTTACATTACCATTCACGCCGGCAAAAGATCGATTGAAACATTCATTAATAATAAAAGTTGTTTTATCATCTGGTAATCCATGAAATAATGTTTTTTCACAGTCAGCATTTTTATATTTTCGCTTAGATTCGTCACGATGTGCTGCATATTGTATATACCAACGTTCATTTTCTATTCGTTCAATTTTAATGATTTTACCATATTGACCTGTCATTGTAGCATTAAATTTATCAACAACATCTTTATATTCGTTTGACGTATTAGGTAATGGAATACATTTTGTATCAGCATGTTTAGGAGACCAGTGGTCGGGCAATATTTGATTAACTTCTTTTCGTCTTATTTGACGAACTTGTTTTCCGAACTCTTGATGCATTCTTTTGTCCACACATACTTGACATCTATTTAATTCTTCATCGATTATATCGATCTAAAAAGAAAAGTTCAAATATCTTCTTATTTTTTACAGTGACACAAACAAACCGATGGTACTCTACGTTGGTAAGCATCTTCAATTTCTGCATTTATTCTAAATGAATACTTTTTCCATATATCATTTGATACTTCATATGACCAAATAATACCTTGTGATATGGTCTGAACTCGTTCTTGCCGATATGTATCAGTTGATAATTGATAAAAATATTTTTCTGCCTCTAATACGGATTCTTTTAAACCATTTAGTTGTAAATGACCTTTTATGATATCTAACTGTGGTAATATTTTTCGTTCCAGACAATAATTATAATATTTATTAATTGTTTTTTGTGTCCAATGTCTCATGTCTTGTTTATCTTTCCACTCTTTTTTCAATGTACAAGATTTACTTTGCTCCTCAATTGATTGACGACATTTTGACAATGTATCGTCATTTTCTGCCGATGTTGTTAGAGTTATTTGTACGACTATAAGAAAGAAAACAAAGGAAAAATATCAATTTCAATTTTGTCAAATGTCAAATGAATGAACTATCTGTATCTTTGAAACATTTTATGTTAAAAGTATACTGAGAAAGTGATCAAATGAAATTAAAGGAAAACCTTCACTTTTGTGCACTTCCATTTTAAGTTCTTCTTTTATAAGTCTGGTCTATTTTAAGAAAGAGAAGATCGCATACTTTCTCAATGGACAGTATGATCATTGATATTTTTAATTCATATTGGTTTTTCTATTTGTTTATTCACTAAATAGCAAATTTAAACGTTTTAAACGCCTAGATTGTTCTGTTTGGGGGGGGGGGGGGGGGGGGGGGGGGGGGGTAGGGCGTTTTGTTTTTTTGGGGCCGGGACGGGGGGTGTTAAACTTTGTCC